CCCAGATGGACACCAGAGGTTTCTCATTTATCTTTTGTTTTTCTGTAAACCAGTTGTTTTCAACCTAAAAGGGACTGGGCAAAGAGGTGCCTGGATGGGGAGGGCACTGCCTTTCGTGGCTCAGAATTTTCTGCCAAGCGACTTGTTCCTCCCTCTAGAGAGCACCTTCCCCGCTATTGCCAAGGATGAACGACAGCCGTGTAGTCTATCTGGGTGGGTGATGGTGGGAAACCTCCAGGCCAGTCTTGAACTTGGCGTTTGTATAAGGAAGCAGGACTTCTGCCTGCTGTGCAGTTTCTCACTAGCAACACCACATTTAGGATTGTCTGGTCCCCCAAGTCACGGTTGACTGAAGTCACCACATTGGTCTTTTTTCCCAGACTAATCTTCAATAGATTTACCGTAGGAATATAAAAAAATGAATTCCAGAGTAATATAGTTTTGTTTTCATTTGGACCTATTCTAACTCATTGTCGGTCCTGGCAGAGTTGAGAAATAATTTCACTTGAAAATAAAAAGATGGAAAAAAGAAAATAAAAAGATGAGAAACAGTAGCTGAATACACCTTCTGAGTAGATGAAGCTTTACAGACTGGGAGCCCCATTGTGTACGGTTCTGACATCCGGTATTTTTTGGCACGACAATTATTTGAGCCGTAGTTTTTATTTTGGGTAGTGGATCCTGTGAAAAAAGAGCCAGACAAATCTGACCTCTAGTGTGGCATTGAACGTGATTTTGAAATTGACCTCTGTCCACAGGTCGAAGAAATTCATCGATCCTATTTATCAGATATGGGAAGACATGAGTGCAGAAGAGCTTCAGGAGTTGAAGAAACCCATTAAACAGGTAAATTTGTGACTCAGCACCCTGGGAAGCTCCAGCGTGGTTACAGACCACAATCAAATGGTAAACAGCAATGTCACACTTAAAAAACACATTTTATTAATTCCGCCTTTGCAAAAATCCAAACTCAGGTTATATTCTTCTTACGAAAAGAATTTTTTGGTTTTTTGATGAATGTTTAGACACTTGGTAAGTGAACTTTGGGAAGTGAAGGTTAATCAGCTCAGCAAATTCACATCTTCGTGTGATCACCACCACCAAGTAACAATCTCAAATTTATTTAGGTCTCGTTTTTCATAAGTAGTCATTGGAAAGCTCTTTTTTTCTTTGTATTTAGCTTGGGTTTGGGGGTGGGGGATCGTTCCTTCACTCATTCACACTGTGTTAGGTACAAGGGTGAGGACGCTGAGCAAGAAAGACATGTGCCACCTGCCCTCTATGAGCTTAAAATCTGTTCAAAAAAAATCAGACCTAATGAGTAGTTACGTGTGACGGACAGTTGTGTCGGTGGTTGGTAATGAAAAAGTGTGTGTCAGGGGAAGCTTCCAGAATTAAGATACGTTTCTTTACTTTCCTCTTTCCAGAAGTGGCACGTTCCTGAGAGGAACTCTTGAAATTTCACACCGCCCGGGTGTTCCTACTGATAACCTCTGTTCTTTATACAGGAGGTGGTGGAAGATGAGGATGATGATTTTTTGAAAGGTGAAGTTGGGATCACTCCAAGCTCCTTTGACGCGCATTTCCGAAGTCCCTCGAGCAGTGTGGGCTCCCCTCCCGTGTTATTCCTGCTGGACCAGTCCCCTGTGATCGCGAGGATTTGTGATTGAGACGGGCGTTCCTCCCTGTCATGCCCGTCAGTACCAGGGCTCACCCTGTTTGGACTAGAGTGAGGACATGCCTCAGGCATCTTACTTGCAAAGTAGACCTACTCTACTGTCTGAACGGATGTGGTTTTTTTTCTTTTTTACTCCCCTCCAGACAAGGAGAAGACTGGATATCATGTGCAATATTTTAGAGTGGAGTTGATGATAAATGTTGAAGACTTGGCTGTTTAATGTATATTTTATTTCTGTTACAGCTTTTGGACATCATTGTGAAATTTCTAATACTGGCAATAGCCTGTTTTAACCAATTGCATTTTTCATACAGGTTTTGTCTGAGCCGTAGTCACAAGACTGTGTTGATCTGATTTCTTTTCAGTGAAAAAATGCTCTATGTAGACGCTACTCAGTGTCTTTAAAATGATTTACTTTGGACACATTGTTGCCCCTCAGCGGGACCTGGATCTGTGTGTTGGGATTTCAGTGAGGTGTAGGGGGGATGGGAGGAAGGTGCGGAGGTGGCCAGAGCTGGTCCTTGATGCTGGAAGCTGGAGCTGACAGGGAAGATCCCCATGGACTTTGGAGACCAGTGAAATCCTAGAGAGAAGAGATGGAGGATTTAGGGAAACAGACGCAGACAAATCATACACTTGTGAGTTTAAAAATGGATTTAAAAGAAACACAGAGTTCGGGGTAAATGGAATTCCCATGCATGGAGAGTGGGGTTGGACTTTTATAAAACACAGCACCTGACATTTTACCCTGGGGTTCCCAGGAGCTATTAGAACGGAAACTACTCATTTGTAGTGCAATGTTACTTGGATTTTTTTTTTTTTACTTTTTTTTTTTTTTTTTTTAAAGTAGAATCAGTTGGTCATTTTGAGAATTTTCTCTGTGCTAACGGGGCGGGGAAAGGGGGGCTTGGGTCATCTGGCGGGATGGTTTCGCTAGCAACAATAGACCAAGGTCACAGCTCCGGCTTCTGTCTGCTGGCTGTTCGTATCGTGGATTTCGGCTCAGTGAGATCTTCCTCTGGGGAGGCTCTTTTTGTACTTTTATAACTAAACACTGAGAGAGAGGAGTCGACACAACCTCACTTTATGACACGTGTGTAAACACTGTTGGATTCATTTTGTAGCCAATGCATATTTTAGCTTCATTCCTTGTGAACTTTTTTGTTACTTGCGAAAATGGACATCTCTAAACATATTTATTTTTCTGCCACTTTTCCTATTATTTAAAGGCAAGCGATATTTTCTTGATCACAAATATTTTGTAATGAAATACTTTCTCTTTCCTAGGGCTTTGTATGCTCTTATATAATTATATTGATGGCAATGTAGGGTAAATATGTTTTTTGGAAAACAAATTTTTATGGGTTTAAAAAGTTTTGGATATTGCAGATTTTCTTTTGGTGACTTGGTGGAAAGTGATTCGAGAACCTTTGGGTTCTCTGTTCCTTTAACTGCTGGCAAAATGGTGGGGTTTTTGTACCCGAGGTAAATGAGTACATGAACGTGTGTCCCTATAAGGTAACGGTAAGCGGGCCTTTGTGGGTTGAGAAGTTTTAATGTAGTTAAGGCTGTCTTTGTAAACAAATCTGTTTAATTTCAAAGGAGTTGGAGGGAAAAAAATTTTGTGGACATAAAACAATGGCATGGTTAATCTGGACCTTTGGTTCTTACACCAGTAAAGGAGTCAAGGGAGGTACCCCAATAAAGAGGCTTCTAACACTGATGTCGTGGTTTCTGTGCTTTTTACTGATCTCTGTTAAAGCTCCGTGAGAAACTGCAGCTGAGCCCTTACTCCGTCAGAGGCTGAAGTCGCGCCATAGCGGCTGCGGGTCCTGGGAGACAACGTACATGCTGGGGAGGAGAAAGACTTCCAGGAGCAGCCAAGTGTCAGGGACTCTGTGAGCACGCCCAGCCACTAGAGCCCCCCCAGGCCTGAACAGGTTCCCGCAGAACACTTACTTTAAAAATGCACATGCTTTAAAGGAACATCTGCAAGGGGAAAAATTGGGAAATTTCATTGGGAATTCTAGAAAAAGGATTTTCTATTCCTCTTATTGAAAAGTAGGCCTTCGTTCGGGGTCGGAGTTCCAAGGTCTGTCCTGTTGTCTGTCTGCTATGGTCGGCTCTTCCTTAATGAGAAGGGGTGAATTAGTTCAAGTGCGAAAGGGCCAGGGACTTCTCAAGTGTCACGGATAACACAATCGGCGTTTCTCTAGCCAGCTGTGTGACCTTGAACAAGTCTGAGCTCCACTTGGAGCTGTAAGGTGGACGTAACTATTACTGACCATAGGGTTGTGAGGATTCAGTGAAAATGCATGGAAAGGCAGTAGCTGTTGAGCTGCCTGGTGAGAAGGTAGTTAAGCAGGAAGTACTTCCATGGCAGGGTCTTTCCCAGGCAAGGGTAACATTCATTCCATCCACATCGGTTGCCTCCTTGGTACCAGCTGAAGAGATCTCACCTGGAGAGGAGCGGCCAGTGTTTGCCACCTGCCAGGCATTGCTTCTTAGTTTTGGTCCTAGAATCCCCCTGGGAGCTTTGAAAAACTAAGGCGGTGGAATTCAAATGCCACTCCAACAGTGTTTGCTCTGTGCAGCGGCTGTTCATCTCACCACTACTTTCGTCAAGTTGCCTTCTGGTTACCGTAATGTGGAGTTGGGTCTGTTTAAGGAGTATTTCCAAATTTATAACAGAGAGCCTCTAGGTGAGAGGCCTCGCACCCAGATACCTGTCCTCAGTAGGGACTGGATGGTATCTTGATTTTCATTCCCAGGGTTCTGAGCCCATCAGTGCGTGCCTCCTGGACGCCAAGCAGCAAGTGTTCCTGAGGGTTTCTGCATGTGTGGGGCTAGCCAGGTTTCGGCTCTATTTTCTCAGTTCAACGTTCATTGTTGATTGAACACAATCCTGTTGAGGAGCACAGCAGCTTCCGCAACTCAGATAACCTGCTCAAGGGCAATACAAGAAGTAGTAGAGCCGTGATCTTGACTCGAGACGGTCAGATCCCGGAACCCACACTCCGGCCAGGCTGGCTGACCCTCGAACCCAGCCAAGCAGGGCACCAAAAGCTGAGGCCCCGCCTTTCCTGGACGTCCACGCTTTCGGGACTACATTTCCCAGCGCCCCCTGCGGAGGGGGCCGGCCGCGGGCCGCCCCCTCCCGTTTGGACTACATCTCCCACAGGGCAGTGCGGCCCCGCCCTCGGTTTCCCCAGCCGCTCCGGAATGCACCGCCCCCTGCCCCGTGGGACTCCAGTTCCCGGCGGCGCCCGCGGGGGGCGGGGCGGGGCGCGGCGGGGCGGCCCGGGGGCGGGGGCCGCGGGCGGCCCGGGGCTGGGGAGGCCGCCGCCTCCCTGGGCCTGCCGGGGAGGCCGCCTCCGCGATGCCGCTGCTCGTCGAAGGGCGGCGAGTGCGGCTGCCGCAGTCCGCCGGGGACCTCGTGCGAGCCCACCCGCCTCTGGAGGTGAGCGGGGCCCGGGCCGGGGGGAGGGGGGCTTCGAGGCGGGCCCGAGGGACCCTGGCGGGCGGGCCCGACCCCCGTCGCCCCGCCGCCTCCAGCCGCGCTCCCGGAGGCAGAGTTTAAACTTGGCGCAGCGGAGCGGCCGGCGGCACGTCGGGAGCCCCGGCCGCCGGCAGCGACTCTCTGCCCTGGCTCGGGGCGTCTGTGCGGCTTTCCCCTCCCTTGGACGTTCGAGGGCATCCGCCGAGGCCGGGCGAGGGGCCGGCGGCCCAGAGAGGTTAGGCGACTTGCCCGAGGTCGCACAGCACGCCGGTCGGAGGGCGCCCGGGGATTCCGCGACCCAGGGCAGGCCGGTCCCCACCCCCAGCCGGGCTTGGCGGGTTGAGGCCAACCGGGCAGCGCCCCTGCGCGCCGGCAGTCGCGGGGGACCGCGCCCCGCGGGGAGCGGCTCCTCCCGGCGGGGCTGCGGCCAGGGGCATCCGGCCGCTTCCCCGGGCTTCTCCCCACCCCCTCCACCCCCCACCCCCTCCACCCCGAGGCTTAGGGCCCCGGGTATTTTTAGCCAGAAGAAAGGGCCCTGCTTTTCCCCCAGCTGAGCCTTGTTGAGGACCACGCCCTGATGGAAGGGTTAGGTTTTGTTTCGTCTTCCTGCTTTTGTCCTCAAATAGTTCTCTCTGAACCCTCAGTCCACGCTTAGGCAGAGAAAGGCGTTCTTAATGTAAAAAAGAAATGGGTCCAGATCCGGTTGCGGGGGAATCCGTCAGCTCGTGGACTGGAGTCAGTTCGTTCGTCCTGAGCTGCTGCTGTCTGTCGGGCACCGTGTGCGCGTATGTCCTACAATCAGGGCCGAATGCTTCCCAGCCGAGTTAGAGGGGCTGGTCTTTAATCACAGAATGGCTCGGACGCCCTGGGCTGCTAAGTGCCTACAGGAAGAATGCCGGTTTTCCCTCTGAGAGGCGAGGCACGGGGGCTCGCGGAAGGTCGTCTTGGGGTTTCCTGTTCTCCGTTGCACACTTTGGAATTATTTTGTCTGCATACTTGTGTCGACCTGCCCCCCCATCCCCTGCCCCCCGAAAGTGGGCTTCCTGAACAGTGTGTGTCTGTTACTGCTCCGTGTCCTCCGAGCCTAGGGCAGTCTCTGGTCACGAATCTGCACTTTGTAAATTCTTGTTATATCCATGACTGAACAGAGGGACCCCTGAGAATGACCTGAAGGATGGGGAGTAGCAGGGGAAAGGGAACACTCCGTGATTCCCAGCCTGCAGGTCAAGAAAACAGCTGTGATGTAGCCAGCACCTGCCGGGGTCCGAGCGGACACCGGGCCCTGTGCTAAGCATTTTCCTGGGGCTGCATCGCTGTTACCTCGTTAACTAATGAAGTCAGAGTAGGACTCACCAAGGGGAAAATCTTTCAGCTGCCTGCAGAATTTAGGTGACACTATTTTTATGTTTCTCTGAGAATTTCTGTGATAAAAGGTCAGAAAGATGAGAGTCCCAAGCAGCAGGCCCGGTGGGGAATCCGCCGGCCTGTGTAGGGGGCCGGGGCAGTGCGCATTCCAGGAAACTGGGGGTGTCACTGGCCTTTGCAGCAGTCTTAGGGAAGAAGGATGGACGCAGGGGAGAGATCGAGCAGGGGGAGAAGGGTGAGGGCATTCTAGCTGAGCTGCGTGGGCAGGAGGGCAAGCGCCCCGAGAGGGCGGGTGGACTGGCCTGGGCAGAGGGTGTGAGCGGAGAAGAGTAGAAGATAGAGACCCAGGGAAGTGGGCAGCCTCGGGTCAGAGGGGTTTCGGAGGATCTTTCAAAGAATAAGCAGTGGGGGGAGATGAAAGCTTTCATTAGGTTTTCTGTAACAAGTAGCCTGTCCCCTTTGTCAGAACATTTAAATGTCAAGAGGACCACAACCACTCCAGACGTCTTGGTACCCGTCTCGACAGAGGGTTTTCTTTATATATGAGTGATGTACTTCTGAAAGGGAGCGCAAACTACATACTCTGGTCGGCGATGTGTCTTTTTCACGGAATGATGTGGCCTGTACCGCAGTGGCAGTTAGAAGCCGGTCCCTAGTGAGGCCCGGCACAGAGCAGCTGCCGCCCCTGTTCCTGGAACACCGGGGACTGGGCCTTACCTGCGGAAGCAGGTGCTCTCGCTAGGCCTGTTTTAGAGATGAGCCCATTTGAGAGATGAGCCCTTGGAGGCACAGACAGGTGGAGTGAGTTGCCCAGAGGCCCGCGTCCTGGAAGTGGCAAAGCCGGCGTGGGGACCCTGGTGGCCTGCCTTTGGCTCTAACGCGGCTCTGCTCAGTGTGGACCCCGACTCTCCCCACTATTTGGGGCTACTTAGGTGCCATTACCCTGTAAGACAATGGAAAGCTCAGTTCCTCAGTCACACTGGCCATGTTTCAGGTGCTCGACAGCCGGGTGTGGCTGGCGGCTACTCTGTGAGGCAGGGCGGGTCTAGCTCATGGTCCGCACCCCAGAACATTCCTTCGGGGGGTGCGCTCTTCCAGCCTTTGCTTTTACCCAGTCCTCCACTGGGGCTCCGTAACCAGTCCCCCCAGCACCTTGCTAAGTGTGGTGCCATAGGATTCCATGACATGAACGCACCGTAACTTAGTTCCTGCTTCTCTGCACGCAGGAGGTTTCTAAATCTCCTGCATTACCAACATTCACAGAGCTCAGTCTTCGTCAGCCCCTGTAATGATTCCCACCCGTGAAATGGCTGGACTCGAAGGGTTTCCGAGCAGGAAAGGGGTGTGGCAGAGCCATGTTTAGAACTGATGCAGGGCCGCCATCGGGGAGGGTAGTGTGGGTGGCGAGGGGGACCTCGGGGTCAGGGAAACAGGCGGGCATGGGGACAGCCCCCTAGTTAATCCTCACGCAGGCTAAGGAGCAGACGGCATCATTCCCTTTTCCCCAGGGCAGGAGAATTTGCAGGAAGAATGGACAGACTCCAGGAGGAGGGGTAAGGGGACACTTGGTCATTCTGTGACTGGCCAGGACCGGGGTCCGCAAACTACAGCCCCCGGCCCGATGCGGTCTCTGCACAGCCCGTGAGCCACGAGTGGCTTTTACATTTTTAAATGGTGAGGGGGGGTGGAAATCCAAAGAGGTGTATTTCCTGCCATGTGAAATGACAAGTTAATTCAGATTGCGGTGTTGTCCATCAGTAGAATCTTCTGGGTTCACGGCGCCCGTCCGGTTGTTTACATGTTGTCTCTGCTGCTCTCGGGCTGCACGGCAGAGCCTGGCGCTTGCAAGACGAGACCGCGCCGGCAGAGCCCAAAATAGTTCCTCTCGGGCCCTTTTCAGAGAAAAGTTTGCTGAGCCCTGGCTTCAGCGAGCGGCGCGAAGGCAGAGGAGTTGGGAAATGAGAGGCTGCCGGACGGGGCTTCTGTAGGGATCTGAGTGTCCAGAGAACGTCAGAGGTCGAGAGGACGGGGCTCCTTTATTTTGGGACGGGTTGGGAGTTCACCAAGGAGCTGTCGGTGTTTTCCCACAGTGGGGACGTGTGGCTAAACTTTTTTTTTATTTCTTAAAATTGGGAAACCAAGACAACATGTTCTTTTCGCTTTGTGGCATCATTTCTTCGTCTTTTTTTTTTTTTTTTCTTTTTAAGGATTTTATTTATTTGACACAGAGGAGACAAGTAGGCAGGGTGGTGGCAGGCAGAGGGAGAGGGAGAAGCAGGCTCCCCGCTAAGAAAGGAGCCCGATGCGGGTCTCCATCCCAGGACTCTGGGATAGAGACCTGAGCCGAAGGCAGAGGCTTAATGACGGAGCCTCCCAGGGGCCTTGGCATCGTCTCTTCTGATAATGAGTTTATGCTCCTGTCTGTTGGGGGAAGAGGAGCCTTGGGGGGAGAGGTGGGGGGCTGGGACGATGTGATTTCTGGTCTCGGCTTTGCTTTCGGGCGGTGACCCCTCATGAAAGTGGCCTTCACCCTCCTTCCCCCAGCCCCGAAAGAATAAAGCCAGAGATATGTGTGCAAGGAATAATGGAGAGCAAACGCTGCGTTCTTCCAGCTGTTGCTCTCCCTGAAGGTGAGAAGGCGCCCTGGGTGTCAGGTTGGCGAGTCCCACTGGTTCCTCTCGGCCCAACTGAGGCGGCAGGTTCTGGGCTCCTTCTGGTTGGTTCCATGGAGGAGCCGCTGTCATGCTCACGGCGGCCTTGCTTCCACTTAATGCGAGTTTGCCAAAAGAGACAAGGTGTAACTAATCCAGCTGATCGTGGTTAGTGAGTGAGTTAAACTGTTTTTACATCTTGTGTTTTATGAAGTCTGCAAGCACCAGCCTGGGTGAGCCCCAGCCAGGAGACAAGCCTGTGAGACCCGAAGGCTCTGTTCCAGGCCCCACGCTGCACGCACCCCTGTCTGCCCGCTGGGATAGGAATTTGTTCTCTCTCTTGCTTGTCGGGAGTAAGAAGGAAGTAAGGACACAGCCCGTGTATCCTATAATGATCGCAGTTGTATATCCACCTGATGTCTTTGAAAACCTTCAGTTTTCATTAAAGAATTGAACGCCTGTGGGGTTTTTTTTAATTACTTTTTTTTTTTTTTTAAGATTTTATTCATTTTACAGAGAGAGACAGAGAAAGAACACAAGCAGGAGGAGTGGGAGGGGGAGAAGCAGGCCCCTGATCCCAAGACCCTGAGATCATGACCTGAGCCGAAGGCAAATGCTTAACAACTGAGCCCCCCGGTGTCCCTAATTACTATTTTTTTTAAATGTTTTTTTAGACTTAGAGTCTAATAAGAGTTTTGAAACCCGAACTCCAGTGTAACTGCCATCCTGGGGATAGGTTCCCTTCGGGCGCGCCGTCTGGGATCCTGCACTCGCACGCACGGGTCCGTGGAAGAATTCAGGCTCATGTTCAAGGAGAGGAAGTCCTGACACCTAATGGTACCCCGGCCTTTCCATGGGGTGGCGTACTTCCGGCCGCTCATTTCCGGTTTTCTGCGCCGGTAGGGACCCCACCCGAGAGCATCTGCAGAGCTGAGCTTCCCGGGTGTAGCGGCCCCTGAGCCCTGCAGTAGAACCGGCACACTTAAGAGCTTTTATGTTTTGGGTTTTTTTTTTTTTTTTTTTTTTGATACATTTGCACGTTGTCCATGTACATCGCCGAGCCACCTTCCTCTGTAGTCCCCGGCGTTGCTGGCCGCTGGGCCGTCGTGAGCCGCGTGGGGCGGTGCGTGTTTGGGGTGCATACTCAGTGCGGGGGTCCCACAGTGGGAGGGCCAGACGGGGGACGGGGACAGTCCTAGCCTCCCTCCCACAAGGGCTGTGGCTGCAGAGCTGGCTGGGGCGCTCGCCCGGACACCCCGATTCCCTGCCCAGCGGCAGAGCTGGGCAGAGTCTCTTGCTCCTGAGTTAGGTCTCGTATTGTAGGTTCATCAAAGCCCAGAACCGCACCGTTCCTCCGCCTTGTCCCCTGCAGCAGCCGCCACTGCCCCGTGAGCCTGGCCGGTCCGCCGCGCGGTGCTCATGCGCCGAGCCCTGCCAGCCCTCACTGGGTACTCAGCCCTACTAATTGCCATCACGATTTTATTTTTTTTTTTCTTAATTAAACAGGAAAGAGCCAGACTTCTCAGAGGTCAGTCTGTTCAACAAGTGGGACCCCAGGGCCTTCTGTATGTTCAGCAAAGAGAGCTGGCAGTGACCTCCCCAAAGGATGGTAGGTTAGGAAGCAGTGAATTGGGCGTTACCCCCAAGGCTACTGGATACTTTATTTTCTTTCTTTTTCAAACAGGCTCCGTCTCCATTCTGGGCTCTGACGACGCCACCACGTGTCACATCGTGGTCCTGAGGCACACAGGTAGGGCGAGAGACGCGAAGGGAACCGTTGCTGAGAGTGGCCGCCCGCGTGGGGCCATCAGAGCCTGTGCCCGAGTGTTCTCGGGTCCCCTCTGAAGCCCGGTCACGCTCCCCTTCTCTCGAGTCTACACGGCGTCTCCCGGGGCCCCAGTCAGGAGGCTCGGTGGGCAGCGCAGGTGTTTCTGTTCCTCCTCTGTCCAGGCTGCCCGGAGGGATGCGGTCGGGAGAGACCGGAGCGGGTGTGCCGTGTGTCCCGGGTTCTCAGTGGGAATAACCCGAGACATTCCTCCCTTCTCTCCAGGTAACGGGGCCACCTGCTTGACCCACTGCGATGGATCGGACACCAGAGCGGAGGTGCCCTTGATCATGAGCTCCATCAAGTCCTTCTCCGACCATGCCCAGTGTGGAAGGTGAGCTCCACGCCCGTCCGTGCCGTCAGGAGCTGTGTGCCGTGGTGTGGAGGGGCCGGCCGAGGCGGCCGCGCGGGAGGTCACGGCCGCGGCCGGCGTGCTCCAGGGGAGCACAGCTGGCACAGCGCCAGGCCTTCCGTCGGTGCTTGTGGGTGACGGGTACAGGCTGACGGTCCCCGCGGTCTGACTTGGAACCTCCAGCGGTCTCCTCACTCGTGTGCTTTTAGAGGTTCACCTGTCAGACGTCGCTGTTAGACCCCGGATGCCGTCTCCCTGGGTTCAGTCATTCATTCGTTCGTTCATTCGTTCATTCCCTCTCCTGGCAGCCACTTGGCGGGGACTTGCTCCCAGCCAGACCCGTTCCAGGTCCCCAGGCCGCAGCCGCAACCATGGGAGACAGAAGCTGCTCCGGGGCGCTCACGTGCTAAGGCAGGGGGGCCGCAGGGAGCCCCACGGGATGGTGCGAGCCGGGAAGAGCTGGAGGCCGCCCAGGCGGGGAAGCTTGGCCTGAGTTTCCTTCGTGGCAGCCAGGCCGGGCCGGCTTCAGGAGCCGGTGAGCCGTGCGGGCAGTGCCTGATTTCCCTGGGCCCCGGGTCCCGCCGGCAGGAGGCATCCTTGTGCGGTTCTGGAACCAACGTCGGCGCGCTGGCAGGGGTGCGGCAGGGTACCCCGGCAGGCGAACCCGGAGCCCCCGAGCCAGCCCCGTGGCCATCACGGCTCCTCTTGCTGGCTCATGTTTGTTGGGGCCCCTTGATGCTTGTCCTCGTGCTGGCGATGTGGCCAGTCAGGTTCCTTCCTCAGGAAGTTGGTCCTGGAAAGCGCTGTCCCTGTCCCCGGCTGGGGACAGATTAGCAGACGAGGGCGGGGAACACGGGGTCCAGCAGCGGAGCTGGGCGTTTCCAGCCGCGGGGCTTCTCGGGGCTCTGCCGTGCTCGTGTGCGCGGGGACCGTCCTAGGGAGGGTCACCCCGAGGGAGTGGCACAGTGTCCCCAGCTTGGAAAAGCTGGTGTACTGGGTACGCGTGGCTTTAGGAACAGACCCGGTTTCCTTCTGGAAATGGAAGTGATATTCCCTCCTTCTGGGTGAGGTGGATGGGACATAGTGCGGCAAGGGGGCCCCCCACAGTCCCCGCAGCGGCCGCCGCCTCCCCTCCCCAGCTCCGCACCCTCTCAGGCTGAGATGCGTTAAGAGGTTTCTGGAAGCACCCAGCACTGGGTGGGTGAAAGTGTGAGGTAGTCCTGTCCCTGCAGAGCTGGGCGTCTCGCGTGCAGACGCAGCTCCCCTCTGCCATCAGGGCCCCTGGGCGGGGTCCCCAGAAGCTCGTGCAGCCCTGGCAGCCACACCCGTTTCCCCCAGTGCCGCCCAGACGTGTCCTCCCTGCGCCACGGCCCCGACGCGGCCCGGAGGAAGCACTGCTGTAGAGCGAGGCTTCGTGGACGCGGAGAGCTGAGATCCCAAGCACACCCAGGGCCCCCGTGGCTGTCGTGCGGGCCTCTGACCACCGTCCCGTCTCTTTGCCAGGCTGGAGGTGCACCTCGTGGGAGGCTTCAGTGACGACAGGCAGTTGTCACAAAAACTTACTCATCAGCTTCTTAGTAAGTGCCCCGCTTTCTCCCCAGCTCTGATCAAAGTCTGCACCCACTGCAGCTTGGGTAAAGTCCTCATTCGTGCCACACCTCCGGGGGGTCCCCGCAGCTTGGAGCCCCAGGCATGGCCCTGCCGGGACTCGTGCAGAACAGAGCTAAGTTTTCAGAGGCGGAGGGGCCGGGGCCGAGATTTCCCGGGCACCAGCAGTCGGCACCGTGCGAAACAGTCGGCACTGAACTGTGTGAAGCCAGAACCCCGCTCTGGGCAGGAACGTCCGTCTTAATCTGCAGAATATTAAAACCAACGATGCCACTGTCGTCCTACTAGAGTCACAGGAAGAAAAGCCCCGCCCTGTCCCCGTGCTCACACGCCGGGGACTAGACGCTGCTACAAGCTACGGGCGAAGCGACCTGGCCCCGGGGCTTCGGTCTGAAGGTTTCCAGTCCTTGGACCCAGTAACTCCCACCTGGGACTCTAAGAAAATCATCTGAGTTGTGCCTAGAGCTTTGGGCCTGAAGATGGGCAGTAAGAACATTCTTTACGTTAGGAAGCAGTTAAATGTCCACGGGTAAATAGTTAAGGAGCCACTAAGCAAGACTCAGGATTACGCGGCAGGCAGATGCATACAGTCGGGACACAAAGTTGCTCCCAGTCCCTCACCCCCCGGCGTGGGCTCAGCAGGGCACAGGCGGTAAGGAAAGGCACGCGCCGGGATTGTGGCCGTTAATAACCCACGTACTCCTTACACTTGCCTGTATTTTCCTTTTATTTATGTTTTACAGTGATAAACCTTTTTATGACCGTTGATCAGGACAGAATTTCCTTAATAGTAAAGAGCTTACGAGTCAGCGGTCCCCCCACTGCCCTCACCAGGGAGAGAAGAGGGGATGGCCCGGTCGGTTTCCTTTGGGCCCGAGGCTGGGAACGGGCCTGTCACTTGGCAGGTGGGGTGCCGTGGCGTCAGTCCGCGGGAATCTGGCCTCGGCAGACGGGCCAGGTTGTGGCCGAAGGTTGGACAGGCATGGCTCAGTGCTGCTGTCCCCCTGGCCCTGTCCCACCTCGCTCAGCCTGTGTGCTGCTAACTGGGAACTCTCGTTGTAGGTGAATTTGACAGACAAGAGGAGGACATTCACTTAGTGACGTTGTGTGTGACAGGTGAGTTCTGCCATCCTCCCCGAGACTGGTGCCCTCCCCCTAAAGTGAGACTCTGCACGAGCACCTCGGTCATGGGGGTAGTCCGGCAGCGCGTGGCTGACGTGTGCCCCACTGGTGTCCTCTGCGGCCACGACCACCCCCAGTGCCGCCTCCTGACGCAGACGCTCCTTACCCTGACCCCCACCTTCAGTGCCACTCCCCTCTCCTTCCTGGGGCTTTTCAGAGGCTTCCCCAGCTCCTGGGAAGGAGCAGCCACCACGCGTGGTGGACGCTGAGGGTGTGGCTGGCTGGGGGGATCCAGCTCGGGACGGGGCTTGCGGACCCCAGCCCCACGGCTCGGGGACTTGGCAGGGACACAGGAAAACAGTCCCTTGTGTGTTCTGCTTTTTTTCCCCCTTTCTGTTGTGTGGGCTCCTTCTTGGCTTTGATTATGGAACATGAAAGCAACTGTTGAGTATTTCTTAGACATTAAATCTTGAACTTTTTTTTTCTGTTGTTAGAATTAAATGACCGGGAAGAAAATGAAAACCACTTTCCAATCATTTATGGCATCGGTAAGTAGCATGTTTCACCGAGGATCAGAGGCCGGTCCCATGCTGATGGGACCACGTGGTGAGCCCGCTGGGGCGCTGGTTAGGTTCCTGTCCTGGCTCCTCTGTGGGCCCAACGGGGGCGTCCCGGGCAAGGAGCGTGCCTTCTCTGACCTCTGTCTGCGAAACCAAGAATGTCCACACCCTGAGGCCATGAAGGACAAACAAGGGAGCCGGGGGGAGGCAGACCCGGTGGCAATGGTAACGGGGCTCCAAGCAGCTGGGGCCTTTGCATCTCCTTACCCGTAAGCAACCTTGTAAGGTCTGGTTGTGAACAAAGTTGCTCCTAAGGAAGGTGTAAAGCTCTCCCGGCTCCAGAGAAGCCAGAACACACCGGATCTGGCCATGATCCCAAGCCACGCTTGTGCCCCAGGTCAAGCAGGGGGTCGGCCACGTGCCCGCCGGGAGGAATGGCAGGCTGCTGGGGGCACCGTGCAGCCATCCTGGGTTGGGAGCAGAGTGTCCCCTCGGCTGGCCCAGGCCCCAGCGGTGCGCACCCCGCACTTTGTTACATGTGGTAGAAATGTAAGATCACGCGAACTTTCCATTTGCGTCTTAAGTCAAAGAAAATGTCGTCTGTCCCCCGCAGCTGTCAACATCAAGACCGCGGAGATTTACCGAGCGTCCTTCCCAGACCGGGGTCCGGAGGAGGCGCTGCGGGCTGCCCGGGCTTTAACAGGAGGACCAGTGAGTGTGAAATCATCTTTGTGTTAAGGGGTTTGGGGAAAAAAGGGCATCGCACTCCAAAGCCTCAAGTTTTATAGACCTTAAAAGTGAACACTTTATAGGAGTTTCTTTAAAGCTACGGAATGATCAGGGGTCGCCTCTCTCCCCTCCACACACAACACGGAAGAGTAAGGAATGGTTTTAGGTTGTAGGCGCTTGGCCTCGAAGGGGTACAGGGAGGTAATGTGCGCGCCCAGCATCCAGTGCAGAGAACGAACCCCTTTTTGTTGGTGCACCATTTGCCTACACACGACTCACGAGGAAAGCAGAGCCAGGCAGCGGGGAGAGGTCTCGGCCTCTGCACCTCAGCAGCCACACACGCTGGACTGCGTCCCGGAAGGCCGATCTGCCGCAACACGTGGATTCGCCCACAAGAGTCATCGGGTCACTTTCCACAAGTCTGATCGCCAGGGATGCTTTTTAATACTAATACCTTAATTTTGAAGGAAAAAGAACCACCCAATCCTTACATGTCATTTAAAAATGCCTGAAGGGTTCTCTGGCCCCTTCCCGGGGTGAGACCAGCCGGCACAGTCACAGCCGCGAAGGGACGTGCGGGCTGACGAGGTGTGGACGTCGTCCTGGGACGCGTGTGGGTTCAGAGCACGCAGCGGGGGGACGAGTCCTGCGCTGTCCCGCGGCACCATGGCCTGGTCCGCTCACGCCGGCACCCAGGCCAGTCTCAGAGCCCGACGGCCGGCAGACGCGCACCTGCACGCGGCGCGCTCTCGCTGCCTTCGATCGGGCGCCGGGCGGCCTGCGCGACCTGCTTCTGCGTGGCCGGGTCCGCAGCTCTCCCCGCAGGGCCGTGCGGCGCCGCGGGCCCAAGTGCCTGTCCCTCCGGGCCTCAGGTTTTCACCCCAAGTGGGAAAAACGCGGTCTTCCTAGAGGACCGTTGTCGGGACTGAGGCGATACCGCTTGTTACTCACCCAGGGCCGGAGCAGCTTCTGTGAGACATGCTCGAGAAGCTTGTCCTCCGGGTAAACGCGGGGCTGCGGGCCTACCCTGGGCCGGCTTCTCTGGCGGGCTCTGAGAAGCGGGGAGCACGCCTCACCTTCTGCCCCTGAAATGGTCGTTTTAGATGATTAGCATCTACGACGCAGAGGCCGAGCACCTGCGCCTGGGGCCGTACTCCTGGGTGCCCTTCCCGCACGCGGACTTCTGGCTGCAGCAAGACGACGAGCAGATCCTAGAGGTGAACCTTGACGGGTTGGGTAAATCTCTGCACGCTGGTTTCTTCATCCGTAAGAACAAAAGGTGCTTAGAGCAGAGCTGCTCGGCTCGCGGTGGGCGGGAGTTAGCTGTAGGTGCCGTCGGCAGACCCCGCTGAACTTCTAGTCAGCGGGGAAGTCCGGTCCCCGCGGCATGCGCACGGCTCGGGAGGAGGATGCAGCCAACCTCCTTGCCCCGTTGGCGCGGGGCCCCTCCCGCCTGGTCACTCTGCAGTGGCTCGATGCTGGGTGACCTGAGTGTCCAGGTCCGGGCTGAAGAACATGGAGGTACTGCGACGGCTATCAGGAAAGGTAACAGCCAGGTTGTTCCTCTCTCATACGCAGGATCTTATCTTTCCAGAACCTTTCCACTTCGCCTCTGGCTGAGCCGCCCCACTTTGTGGAACATATTAGGTCTACCTTGATGTTTTTAAAGAAACACCCATCTCCCACCAGCGCACTGTTTCCTGGAAACAAGGCTCTGCTCTACAAAAAAAATGAAGGTGGCTTGTGGGAAAAGATCTCTTCTCCCGGAAGCTGAACACGGGATCACCAAAGAAAGCACCTTGCCGGCCTGACGGACCACCGCGGGGCCTGCGAGAACGGGCACCAGAGTCTCCATCTGCCGAGTCCTAGGTCTCCCTCCTTACTGTCCTTCAAATGACTTTCAAAATAAAATCTTATTTTGGCAAAGGCATTTGTTACAGGGTTTACTTTCTGCTTCTCGGAAGCTGACCTCCAGCCTCTCCTTTTTGGTAACAAGGGCACCAGAGGAGCTGCCTGCCTCGTGACTCTACAAGCAGCCGTCTCAGATACGCGGTGAGTGCTTCTCATTCTGCTACGTCAGGGAGTAAAGGAAAACGGTAAGTTTGTTTAAAAAAACAGTATTTAAAATGCACTAAAATTCTCTGAAAATTGATGCATCTCACAGAGGGTTTTTTGGCCCCCACAATGTTTTAGAAGCGTCATTTTCAAAGCTGGTATCATACTTCTAGATGAATGCTAGCTTCAGAATCTGGCCAGTCTGCTCTGCAATATAATCACAATAATGTCCTGGGAGACTGTGTTTAACGAGCTGCACAAAGCCGCCGAAGCCTGTTCTGTCAGGTGGAAGGTCATTAAAATGCCCCAACTGCGATACATGCCAGTCAGACCTGTAGAGACCTTTATGCTTCTGAAAAGGCAATTACTGTGTAGAAACTGAACTCACTGGTAACAATTTCAAGAACCTTTATTGAAACCAACATTCAAATAGTGTCTTAAGGGTGAAATCGTTTCAGCAAAACCAATTTAACAATTCCAAATATATATAAAAACGTTTAAAAATTAATCTTGTTAAAGGTGATAATTTTCCCTTTCCCCATTTTATCTGCTATACTTCATTGCACCAAATAAACAGGGAAGACTTTAATCATCTGCACAAAAAAAAAAACATGTTGACAAGTGCCAAATGTCAGAGATCACATCCAGAGTCTAATTATAGGCTTAATACGGTATAACTAAGGCTTCCAACAGGACAGTCTACAAACCCAGTGTGAATCCCCACTACCTTGAGGCGGCCATAGCTTGACTTGGCTGGACTAAAGGCACAGGGGCCATTACCTAGGATAAATGAAGAGATGCGGTAATTCTGGAGAAGTAGAAACGGGCAGTAATTAAGGGCTTACTTCTAGTTATTTCCGCAGTGGTCTGGCTTGACCAGCCCGAGCGAAGGGACGTCACTGGTTCTTGTTTCTGAGTTGGGCCCAAAGAGGGGAGGTGCTAGTGGGGAGAAGCCACAGAAGCTCCCATGTCAACCGGGTCAAAGATCTACTTGTTCTAGAATTGGAACGTAGTTCACATTGGTTAAGAGGAGCATCTCTATCAGGTTTTCAGATATTAAACGTAGAAATGAGCACAGCCTGCACCTGTGTGCCAATTTAAAAGCTTTACCCATATTTAAAAATATACATATATATGGTCAAGAGTTTTACAGTTACTCTTCATAGATAGTCCTTTAATGTGTTTACAAATAGTACATAAAGGGAGAAATGACCTGCGGCGGGGGGGCTCCTGGCCCCCACAGCCCCGGGGAAGCAGCAGCGGGCACGGGAGGCTCGGGCTCGCTCACCATCCCACTGAATCCCTGTCTCCTTCGAGCCGAATCCGCCCCGCCCGCTGTCCCCGGGGGCGGCGCGAGCCCAGCGCGCTCTAACGAAAGCGGCCTCAGCGGAGAGTTACACGTAACCGCATACAGCGTCTTACACTTGGATCTAGAAAGGTGAGCGCGAGTGTTCCAAGAGGCGGGCTCTTGAGCTCTAAGTGTTGTGAATCAAAGTGTTTATGTAACGGGGGAAACCGGTGTGAACTACAGCGGGGCAGACAGAAACGACAGGAGTTGCTCCACAGACCCATGGAATGAGACAATCAACTGCCCTTCTAAAAAGTCTGGCTTTCAGCACGGATGTGCGCAAAAATGCCAGTTCCGCACAAAAACAGTCATTTCTCTCGCATTAGCACGTGGCACGGTTCACATTGTCAGTAGAACTTCTTCCCTGAAACGATACTACAGTCTCCAAGCACAACACTGACTTTTATCTTAAGCTCTCCGGTTCTTCTACCTGTGGACGGTCGTCTTCCGGGCACTGGGCCCCGCTCCGGAGGGCGCCCGTCTGCTCGGCGTCCTGCGGGGCGCGAGTGCTGGGAGGGGGCTCGGGGCTGCCGGGCTCCTGGGCGTCGGGCTCGGGCGCGCCGCTCAACTGCTCCACCTTCTCCAGGTCCTCACTGTGGCTGACCGAGCTGGTCTCGCTCAGAGCGTCGGAACCTCTCAGGGACCTCCTGAAAGGCTTCTGGCCTAGAGAAAGAGGCACGGACCGTGCTGCAAGCTCCGGGCGTGCTCCCAGAGCAGCCCTAGTGATCCCCAGCTCGGACGCCCCGGAGGGAGGAGGTGAGGAACGAGAATGGGCAGGAAGCCGGCGCGGCTCAGGCCGGTCGACACCAGGTTAGACATGATGCCAGCTCTCGGGACCCTAACGCCCCATGAAGTGCTACAGAAATTTCTCCAAGTTAAAGCTCCAAGCAACTGCCAAGGTTAAGATGAAGCGAGTCTTAAGAGAAACAGGACTTCGGGTGAAAGCGCCAAGACAACAGAAGGACGCAGGGAGCACCGAGCAGGAAACGCCCCAGGACGGGAAGGTCTACGTTCCCCAGAGGAACCGCCAGTTCTCAGGGTTCAAACGCCCCCGGGAGACGTCCTGTACCTGGAAGTCTCTGCTTCGTGCGCGTGCCCGAGGGGGTTTGCGGGGGTGTGACGCCCGTGCCTTGTACCTTGTAGACATAGGTGTGTTCCGTGGACTCCAGGGAGCCTGCCGAGGAGAGAGCGGTAAGCGCGTGCCACCCGGGGAGCTAACCCAGGCAGCCTCGTTCCCCGAGAAGCTTCCTCCGGCCCTTTAGCCTCACTCAGACCAGCAGAGCCTTTGGGCCTCTGGAAACAGCCCCGCAGGAGGGGGAGGGGTCCCCAGCCTAAACCTCCCCGGGGATCCTGCACCCCTGGGACGGTCCTCGGCCGGCAGGGTGGCACGAGCATGCCTGGGGGTCGACATGCGCATCGGGAAGGTGCTTTGGCCACAAGGAACAGACGCTTTGCTGATGGCTGAGGCCTGGCATGTCAATCAGATTATGGCCCGAGGACACGGCGGGCGCCATCATTTCCTAGGGAGGGACCCCAGGCTGAGGGCGCTGTTCCCCCAGCAGAACAGGAAAGGAAGAGAGCGACAGCGGGACATCCTTCCCGGCAACTGCTACTACTTGCTGGCCGCCGACTGTGAAGTAAGCCGGCCCGGGCTCCGGACTGCGACCTTCTCGTCTCCCCTGAGGAGCTGGGGCCAAGCGCGCACAGACTGCGGGAAGCACTCGGCTGAGCGCCAAGCAAAGGACGCTGCGTGGAGGACGTGACGGGCCGGGGAAGCACGTTCCCACAGGATGGTGGGGGTCTGCTCTCATGTCGCCGCAGCCAGCGGGGCCGGAGAGGAAGACAACACCGTAGTGTCCCCGGGGCAGATGCATCCCAGCTTCTGGGACCGGTTCCTGGGACGGGCTGGGTGCGCACCGGGCTCCGCCACTCGCGTGGGGCATCCCAGGAACCAGGATAAAACTCGCAAAATCAGTGAGACCTGGGATGATGTTGGTCAGTCCTACCTGCTGTTAAGTTAAAGGTTCTTCCCTTCTGTGAAGCTTGTACCGGAGAAAACCAGTTGAGCACGGACCCCACGACGGGGATCTGCCGCAGCACCCCCTGCAAAACACACCCACTGCTGCTCACGGCCGTCCCGCCGGCCCCGGTGCGTGGCAGCTGGGAGGTCTGCCTCGCGCTCACCTCTTCCAGAAGCCGCTCCTCGTTTGCCTTCTGTAGCTGAACCTGGGCTTCCTGGATCCCTTTTCGAACCACCTCTGTCATGTTTTCTAGAAGCTGTGTTAGGACCAAGAAAGACTTTACTTGTCCAAGATTTCTGAAGATTTTGTTTAGAGAGAGAAAGAGAAAGTGTGTGTGTGTGTGTGTGTGTGTGTGCGCATGCACGCACACAAGTGTGGGGAGGAGCAGAGGGAGAGAGAATCCCAAGCAGACTTTGTGCTTAGCCCAGAGCCCAATGTGGGGCTCAATCCCATGACCCTGAGATCATGACCTGAGCCAAAATCAAGAGTGAGACACCCAGCCAACTGAGCCACCCAGTCACCAGCTGTCTAAGCTTGCCTGAGACCTAGAACTATTACCACAGCACAGGCGACATTTTTCAGAAGTGTAGTAGTAAATGAAATCTTGCACTTTTAAGTGTCAGGATAGAAAGTAAAATAGTAAATTAAACAGAAGAGGATAAAATGCCTGGATAAGGTAAGACACACCTCAGTGACCAGCCTCATCTGTCAGGGAAGGGACAAAGAGAAATGTGATCTGTGTCCCCTCACCAGAAAACAGACAAGCGGCTCAGCACTCACGGAACGGAACTGGAAGTGACAGAGTGAGTCTAGAAAAACCTTTAGGAAGTCTGCCTGAGACTGAAGAGAGCCGGCTCCTCAGCTCACAGGCAGCCTCCTCTCCCCTCCCTAGTGGCAGTAACCCGCTCACATGCTTTGGTTTCCTCAGAGCCATCTTGCCTTAGTTCCTTTTCTCTGCTTCTGAGGGATTTCTACTGACTCAAGTACCTGGTTTGCAGAACATCCGTGAGGTCTACAGTCTGGTCTCCTTAACAGTTGGCCAAAAGAAGGTCTATTATTGGCAGGAAGTTCTGCTGTGAGAAACATGTGCCTCATGCAGCCCCAGGACCAGCTACACTCAGGAAGTCTCCCCTCACCCTGTCAGGCAGGGGTGACTATGTCTTCCGAATGCTCTGCTACCCCTAACTTCTCCCCCACGGCATTTACTGCCTCGCCTGGCTTTGCAGTTCTCGGCCTCCCAGTTGTGAGCCCACCCAGGGCAGGGACTGTGTCCAGTCCCCATGGGCTTCTGGGTTCCTGACGCAAGGCTTAGCCTTCACACACTTTTCAGGAACAAACAGGTATTTTTGAGGGGAGCAGCTTCCTTTGGGACCTCCGCTAGCTGCCTGGAGAAAACCCAGAAAAGGAATGAGACGCAGATTAGTCTTACGGACCCGTGAGTTCTCCTCAATTTCTCGGGCTGTGACTGCAATGGTCTCTACCAGTTCCGAAATATCCACATCGTCACTCGCCATGTCAACGTAGATGCAGCTCTTCATGCTTTTGTACTCCGGGCCTGCGGAAAGAAACAACCGACCGACTCGGTTCCGCAGTCCTGGGTCACAAGACCGTCCGGGGCCCAGTTTCCTGTATGATGGCACGACCAGGCACAAAGGAGCCTCCCTCCCCAGGCGAGGAAAGTGCTAACGGGGACAAGGGATGCCCGGACAGGCTGTGGGAGCGGGAGGGAGCCAGCCCACCCTAGAAAGAACTAAACCAGCATTTCCTCCCAGGAAACAGAGCCCAAAGTCCCTTAACCAGTCAGAAAATGGCCTTCCGAAGTTCAGAGTTGACTTATAAAAACAGTAGTTACCCATTCTGAATGTAAGGTCGGATTCCAGTTCATTTAACTTTTTCAGGAGTGCAGCATGGATTTTTTCTCCTTCTGGATCTAATTTCAAACTGCTCTTGTCATCGTTAGCATGTTCATACCTACAGATGATATCAAGTAACAGTATTTCAGTCTAAAAGATCAGACGCCTCTTCGCACACGGGACTGCGAGTGGTCTAAGCTACTGGCTATTGCCTAGAAGGTGAGACACATGGGCCGAGGAGCCTCGGAGTGTCTCAGGGTCAGACACTGTCAAGAACGTGGCAAGGAAGGCCCAAGTCTCCAGTCCATGAAACTTAAGAGAGGCCAGGTCTGGAAGCCTCATTTGTAGCAGAAGCAGGGAGTGTCCCCTCCCCGCAGAAGGGATAACCGTGCGCACCAAGCGACGGAGGACAGAGACGTATGCTCGGCCAGTGAGCTGGTCCCTGGTCTTAGTGATCTGTGGCTCCCTGTACCCCATGGGAGTAACCATCAGTCAGCTGTGCACTTCTAAGTGCCCCCCCCAGTCACCTGCGAGCTGGCACAGAAAATACAGGGATCTCTATTTTACTGAGGGCGAGGGTGGCCATGCCACCGCTGCGCTGGGCTTTTCTAAGTGCCCAAAGGATCTCACTGAATTTCCAAGAGATGCGTACGCTGGGCCCATACAGAGCCAGTCCACAAAATGACGCACCCGCGGTCTCTGTACGGCCGAGCGGGATGAACACGTACCTGACAACCCCTATCCCAGGCCAGTTCGGGTCATCGACGTGCAGGAGACCTGCCGTTGCTGTCACCTCCTGCTTGAACTCCTCCCGCAGCTGCAGTGTACAGGTCAGGACCGGCAGCTTGCTCTGGACGCAGGCCGCGAGCTGATCCACGTCCTCTCCCCGGGTGCCTAAAACTGAAACCGTCCCCAGAGAGCTCAAGAAATGTGTAAGAACATGGTGGACTACAGAGCAGGGCTCCCCTCTCACTGTTCGGGAGTTCGGCAGCTCTGGGGCATCTGGTTAGCAGGAGCTGAAGCAGTAGAAAGAAAGGGAAAAAAAAGGCTACTAAGCCCCTCTGGAGAGCTCGGGCGTTGGAAACGGACACAGTCCGCTCCTGCTGGTGCGGACGCCGTGCTTTCTTACCCCGAAGACAGAAGGAGCCCCAGCGCCACACACAGTGACACTCGGACAGAGAAATTAGATTCTTCTCACGGACTCAGCGCAAGTCACGAACACTGTACGACACGCTAGAAAAGCCGAGGCAAGCACATGGCTGTTGCTGCACACGAGCATCATGGGAGGGAGGGATTCTGGTGGGGGTGTGCGGGGAGGCAGGAGGGCGGGCTGACAACAGCTCCCAGGGACAGCCTGACGCCCCCACGGGTGCAGGACCCGACATCACTACCCGGCACGTGCTACTCAGACGGCGCAAGGGATCCCACTGAGCCTCCGTACGTGCTGCCCCGGTGTCCTCGGCTCGCTCCACCGGGTTTACAGACTAAGCCTCCGGGGCGCAGGCCCCACACAGCAGGTGCAGAAGTCACTGCCAGACAAGGCCACCAGCCGTCTTCGTGGCGGGCTTTTCTTTGCAGGACAAATGTCCACACCCCCCTACTTTGAGGCTTCAGATCAAGAATCTTTTCAAAAATGTTAAAAATATCTGATAAAGAAAAAAATCAAAGATTTTCAGAAAATCTTTTAAATCATCTCAGAAAACCGCATCATCACAGTTTTTAATGCATCTGTCAGCGATTTCTCAGTCCCAGGACAGGAGGCGACCCCACCTCCACCCCCCCCCACCCCGGGCGGGTGGCATCTGGCAGTGGGAAGCGGGTCTGGACGGGAGGCCGCTTGCTGAGGCGCCCACACGTGTGAAACGGCCAAGACGGGCGCACACCCAGGACAGTCCATCGCGGGAGCCCACGTACTTGCAGCCGTCCCGCTTTCTGTGACACCTAAGACAGCGGCCCTCAGCCTCCACGGCTCTGTGCAAACCGCCTGGGGAGCTCTGAGGGACACAGCCGTGGCCTCCGCCCCACAGACCCGCACCTCAGCAGGCAGGGCAGCCCTGGGGTCCGCAGCTCCACGGCGCAGACTGAGCACCACGCAGGAGACAGCGAAGGGCGCCAAGACACCAAAACACAGGGAGACTCGAGTGACTGGAGAAGGCTATTTCTGAGAAGTTACTCTGGAAAACTCATCTACCTATGCATAGCGCAAAGGCAAAGAAAAAGCCCCTTCGAAGGCAGAGCGGAGTACCCCACGGAACAGCAAACAAAGCCACAGCCCGGACTGCGCGCACAGCTCACCGCCGCTCCCAGAACCAGCGCGGGCAACCCACAGAGACCCGTTACCTGCCGCGGTCATCAAAGGGCTGAACCGGATGCACACGCCCTCCACTTCCAGGTCCATGACCGTGAGGCCGCTCGTGGGCACCAGCTGTTTGAGCTGCTCTCCCAGCTGCAGGGACAAGGGCACAGTGACGAGGCTCCCCCAGGGAGGGACCCGCCAGTCTCCGTACCTACCCTCACCCACTCAGCCCCAGGCCCGGAGGCTCCCTGGGGGCAAGGCCCCCGGATTCTTTTGATTTTCTTTGAATACTTGTGGCCACTTCATTTAAACGGACTAAAAGTTCTACACTTTTTGTTGCCAAAAAATACAACTTCAGTGTAGAAAAATCTAGGAAATACAGGCAAACCAAAAGAATAAAATAAAAATTACCCACAGCACACCACTGAGAAGCACCCACTGCTCACATCTGATAGACCCATCCCGGGTGTCTGTTTTTTCTGTTGCCATAAAACACGACATTCTACGTACCGGGCAGTAACCTGCAGCTTTTCATGTAAGCTACGATGACCATTTCCTTTCTGCCATAAGCACCCAGCGACATGGTTTCTAATGGCTGTTCTGCCTGTTGTGAATGGATCCTGACTCATCAAAGCCCCCAGGTGGGGCCTGACCCACGTTACACCACACGGCTGTGGTGGATACCCTGACACTGTTCAGAACATTCTTTACACACAAATCCGGGAAGCACAATTTCTGCATCGAATGGCAGCAGGAGCACAATGTCCTCAGTCTGTGCCGTCAGATGGCCAGGTGCTGGGGTGGGTGTGGCTCACGAGCCCTCCAACACCGCTACAGACGCTCACAAGGCCCAAGCGGCCGCCCCACAGTCCCCGTTTGGCACGTGGTTTCGAGCCGTCCTCAGCAGCCCAAGAGCCCTGGTGGGAAGCCCTGTGCCTCCACGGGAGCGTCCCTCCGGGGTCTGACTTCCCCGACACGAGCACGTGTGCCCCCACCTGGGCTGGAGAAGAAAGGGCACAGGACCGCGGTTCTTACCCAGCGATTCAGGGCGTCACAGGAGTGTCTTTCCCGGCCGACTGCTGAAGGTGCCATGTTGGGCACGGAGATGGCTTTGGGCACTGGATCTGACACCAGAACACAGGGGATTCACCTTCTAGAAACACAGCTCTATATGCACCCCTCAAACCCTACTTCACTGAGCTCCCAACATGAGCCCAGGAGAGAAGTCGCAAACATTACAGAAACTAAAATGTGTAGCTTGTGATAAATGAGTAAACAAAACATGGTCATCTTCAAAAAGGAAGGAGGTTCGGTTCTCTCACAAGCTCAATAGGGATGACCCTTGAGGACATTCCACTAAGTGAAACAAGCCGGTTACTACAAAGACTCATGCTGTAGCATTCCAGTGATAGGAGGTTCCCACAAGAGTCAAACTCAGAAGGTGGATGGTGGTCGCGAGGGGCTGGGAGGGAGGACGGAAATGGGGAGTTAGCGTGTAATGAGTATGGAGTTTGTTTTTAAGACGTCAATGTTCTGGAGAGCTGCTGGACAACAACGTGCATACATTTAACCCTACTGAACTGTACACGTAAGATGGTAAACTTTTCTTTTTACCATAATTAAACTTTTTTGAACATGTGTATCGGGGGTTTTAAGCTTCCACATTTTTTTTCTCATGAAAAATATAATACTTGAATATAGTCTCACAAATAGAATTCTTAATTTTATTTAAGAAGTCTTTCTTTCAGGACACCTGGGTGGCTCGGTCGGTTAAGTGTCCACCTTTGGCTTGGGTCATGTTCCCATGGCCCTGGGATCAAGTCCCACATAGGGCTCCTTGCTCAGTGGGAAACCTTCTCCCTCTGCCTGCTGCTCTCTCTGCCCACTGCTCCCCCTGCTTGTTCTAACAAATAAATAAAATTAATCTCTAAAAAATGGAAGAAAGGGGCGCCTGGGTGGCTCAGTGGGTTAAAGCCTCTGCCTTCGGCTCAGGTCATGATCCCAGGGTCCTGGGATCGAGCCCTGCCTCGGGCTCTCTGCTCAGCAGGGAGCCTGCTTCCTCCTCTCTCTCTGCCTGCTTCTCTGCCTACTTGTGATCTCTGTCTGTCAAATAAATAAATAAAATCTTTTTAAAAAAAAAAAAATAAATAAAAATTAAAAATGGAAGAAAGAAAGAAGTCCTTCTTTCAAGGAACCTTGAGAGGAAATGAAACTCTAACACTTTAAGTCACCAAGTCTTATCAACCACTGTGCGAGGTAAATCAGAGAACAGAACCCCAGAGGGCCCAGAGTGGGCCTCACAACAAAAATTATCTCCTTCCATTTGAATGGTCTGGGTGCCTGCTCGTACCAGGTGCTGTGCTGGGCACGTGGGATATAAGGCAGACAAGGCTTCTGTCTTCCTGCTGTTTCTATTCTATTGAAAAACACCATAAAGAAAAAAAATGAAATCAACGTGTTTTGTTGCTGGTGTGAAGAAAGAAGGTAGGGACTCTGATATAGTCACCTAAGACAGAACAGACACGGAAGGCCTCTTTGAGGAGGTTGGACATTCTGGAGACCTGAATGAAGACAGGGAGCCAGCCAGAAGACTGAGGGGCAATGTGCTTGAAGCAAAGGGAACAGCAATTGCAAAGGTCTTGCTCTAGGACAGAACAGAATGTTCTAGAAACTCAAGACCAATCTGACTAAAGCACAGTGATCAAGACAAGACGTGGCCTAAAAGAGACAGCAAAGGGTAGACCCCACAGGCCTCACAAGGTACAAAGCTTGGACTTAATTCAACAGAAACAGTAAGATACTGAAGGGTCTGGGCAGTGACCAGGCACCACGGGACTGCCACATGCATCACCACCCACTCTGCATTCAGAGAATGGTCTGGAATGAGGTGTGTGCAGTACACAGAAGTAAGAGAGCAGTTCAGCGGGTACTGTGGCTGTCCAGGGGACACCTAACCGTGCCCTGCGCTAGGGTGGTGGCACTTGGGCAGCCTTTAAGTTTTTTTTTTTTTTTTTTTATTTGACAGAGACCACAAGTAGACAGAGAGGCAGGCAGAGAGAGAGAGAGGGAAGCAGGCTCCCCGCTGAGCAGAGAGCCCGATGCGGGACTCGATCCCTGAAAAAACTGTATTTAGATTTAGCCAGCTGGACTCAGTTTAGATGATCCCAATTTTGTTGGCAACATCCAAAGCGTCATAGTCAGGGGCCAGCCGAACGTATGCCTTCTTCTCTCCATCAGGCCTGATTAAGGTGTTGATCTTGGCTACATCAATGTCCTAGAGCTTCTTCACAGCCTGTTTGATCTGGTGCTTGTTGGCCTTGACATCCACAATGAACACAAGTGTGTTGTTGTCTTCTTCTATTTTCTTCATGGCTGACTCAGTAGTCAGGGGGAACTTGATGACAGCATAGTGATCAAGTTTGTTTCTCCTGGGGGCGCTCTTTCCAGGGTATTTGGGCTGCCTTCGGAGACGCAGAGTCTTAGGTCGTCAGAACGTAGGTGATGTGCGGATCTTCTTTTTTTTTTGTGACTGTGGACACCTTTCAGCACCGCTTTCTTGGCCTTCAAAGACTTTGCTTTGGCTTCGGCTTTGGGAGGGGCAGGGGCTTCCTTCTTAGCTTTCAGCACCATCTTCGTAAAAGGCTCTGCCCATGTCTTTAATATCTGTTTACCTTGTATTTTAAAGTACTTAACAAATAAACCACGATAAGCACAAAAAAACAAGAGATTCGGGGGCCCTACTTCAGATACTCACATTCACGGTATGTAAGTGTGTATCCAGATCTCTATTCTCAAGGGACTCTTACTCATTCATTTTAGTGCTAGTTTAGGGACTAGCATTTGGAAACCACTGCTTTGATCATAGGAAACGATTAGCAAAATGCTAAGGCATTTAGGCCTGGAGTTTTTGTGAGGTGGTTTGTTGTTGTTGTCGTCGTTGTTGTGTCGTTGTTTTCCCAGAGTGGGTGAGTGCAAACACGGGCAAGAGTGGGGTGGGGAGGGACAGACGGAGAGGGAGAGGATCTTAGGCTCTACACCCAAGGTGAGGATCATGACCTGAGCCAAAATCAGGTGCCCCTGAAAATTATTAACATTTTCTGAAACAATGACTGAAGATTTTAGCAGCCAAAATATTTTGGACTATCTATATACGTTGTAATGGTTTAAAATTCGAAGCCCTTGAACACAAATACAAAAATAACACATTTTAGAATCACTTACCTGAGCCTGGTAATTCCTGGAAAAACCTGAACACCACAACTGGAGAACTGAGCTCATCTTCCACCTGAAAAATGAATCTGCTTATTACCAAGTAACATTAAATCGCAACACCTGCAAAATAAAACTGTGGGTCTGAACAACAGGCTACAGATAGCATGTTTTCTTAACACGTGAAACTCAAAGGTTAATTTCAGCTGCTACAGAAACAATAATCAAGGGTTTAGTAAAATTCATAGAAGTAATTCTCAGCCGGCTCCGAGAAGGCTCTGCTGCACTGTGACATCTTGACACGGATGCATTGAAATTAAAGCAGGAGGACACCGCGCCGCTCCTGAACGTAAGCCTGCCGTTAAAGATCAAAGGAGGCAAGGACAAAGTATAACCAGAATCAGTGCTGGGAGAGCTGAAGCTTTTAAGAATCCAGAAATTAACGCTAACTCAAGCGGACTGACTGCAACTTTTTTTCTTTTTTTAAGATTTTAGAGAGCAGGGCATGGGGGTTGGAAGAATGGGCTCCATGCCCAGTGTGGAGCCCAACATGGGGCTCGATCTCACGACTCTTGAGACCAATACCTGAGTGGAACCAAGAGCTGGACACTTAACTGAGCAGACACCCAGGCGCCCCTGACTGCAACTTTTTATATTCACAGACAAAATACTCTCACGTTGTAACACTCTCAGAACAGGATGTAAGTCTCCCCGGCAAGAGGATAAACACAGTCCAGAGCTGAAGCTTCGTATCTTCTCCAACACTGAAGTGGTCCTTATATTCGGGACAGGGGTCAGATGACTAACTTCATCAATAGATTTCATTACAGACAAAAACATTCACTGCATTAAGATAAGCCAGCATGGAGTTCATGTCCACCATTGCACACACACACAGCTCGCCATCAGCTCCATGAGAGGGTCAGGATACAAAGGGAACACCAACGCCCCTTGACAGAATATGGCAGACAGGGACAGAACATCTCTGAGCATTCAACAATTCTAGTCATAAAACCTATTTCCTATTTTCCAGGGTGCCTGGGTGGCTCAGTCAGTTAAGCATCTGCCTTTGGCTCAAGTCATGATCTCAGGGTCCAGGGACTGTGCCCCACATTGGGCTCACTGCTCAGCGGGGAGCCTGCTTCTCCCTCTCCCTCTGCCCCCCCTTCTGCTCATGGTTTCTCAAATAAAATCTTTAAAACAACAACAAAAAGATCCCCCAACCTATCTTCCAAGGCTCTCCATGGTAGAAATGCGAACATGCAAAGCCAGGAAGGAGCTGGCCCAAGGTCTTCCCTACTAACCTCTCAAAGGACCACACGGATGTGACTTAGATCAAGCAGTGTGTGTATCCAACCTACCAATTGACTGGGCTGGTTCCTGTGCTCACCCGTCATCTCCTCTACCTGTCACGTAAATACATCTAGTAATACTTTCAAAGCTGGAGGGGCTGAATGTCTGAATAGAATGGAGCAAACCCAAGATGGAAATAGACACAAAAGCAGCAAACTTCTACAGCCATTCCCCCATTCTCACTTAGGATAAGGCAGGACGATTCGAGTGCCGAGACTTCTATATATAGTTTAATACAGTCCTTGGTTTCTTGTTTCTTTGAGCTCGGTGGTCTCAAATGTCAGTGCATGAGAAATACTGTCCAGGGTTACGTGCACAGAATTCTGGTTCTAGCACACGGCAGACTGAAATGCTGGATTCAATATCCTGATAACCCAAAAAAACCTTTAAACCACGGTTAGGCTCACAAGAACAGTGAACCCAGGAAGAAGAGAAAGCAAAGAATATTGTCGGCCGAGCCAGGGCTGGAGGAAGGAGAGGAGATACAGGAAGCCAGCTTTCACATCTAGTGTCTTCAGGCCCATGTGCGGATGGCGCTAAAGGACCCTCGAAGGATGGTCCTGAGAGGAAAAACTCCACCCGCTGGTCAGCAAGAGAGCTTCCCGCTGCCTGAGGCTCTGTCTGCAAAGGGAGAGAAAATTCTCTCACGAGAGACCAAAGCGTCAGGTGCACATCGCACCGGGCTTGATGTCCTGTGTGGCACAAGAGTCCTAAAGCTGTGGACCCGGCAGGACACGGACCCGGACCAGTCACACACACATCCGGCTGACAATGACCAGTCACACACACACACACGGAGCAGAATCAGCAAACACGACCCAGGGGTGACCCAAGATTAAGCAACAATCAGAAATAGACGGTAACCACCATGCTTACAGAGAAACGGAGACCGGGAGCAATTAAAAAAGACCAAAATCGAGGCATCAACTTGAGCAAGAACTAAAAAGAACATGTTGGAAGGAAGAAAAAGTCACTGAAACACAAAGTGAATGGCTGACGCAGATGAGAGGCCACTCAGGAGCAAAGAAAGGCCTGGAGAAACTCACGAGGCAGCAGCAAAGAGGCAGCGATGGGACGTGTCAGAGGGACGGACGAACACGGAGCGACAAGGTTCAGTATGCTGCCAACTCAAGGTCCAGAGGTAAGACTGGAGAAAGAGGTCACAGTTGAAAAAACAAACCTGACAGAATCGATTAGGGAAAAAAGGAACCCTCACGTTTAATAAGTGCAAGTCCCAAGCAGGAGTTCTAGAAAATCCTCATTTAGACCCACCACGGTCAAAGTAGCAGAACCCAAGGACGGAGACGATCTTAACAGCCAGCAGGAATGTCAGCTGTACACAGGGGCCCTGTGAGGTTTCAGGAGTAAGGGGGAAACATTAGCTTCCCCCTAAATGCTGAGCTTAGAGCATAGCCCACGCACCCCGCAGAGCCGGTCAGACAGTGGCCACAACGCCGCTGCTGAGAAGACGGGCTCCGCCCCGCGGAACGGGCAGCGGCCCCAGGTATCCGGGCAGCGGGGGAAGTGCGGCTGTGCTGCGGGACCGGGCGGCTCCTGAAGGGTCAGCCATCTGACAGGGGGAAGATGCCGGCGGGGCCTTGGAGAAGGAGCTACGATGCTGCAGACACGGCTCGTCTTCGACACGCTGGGTGCAAGTCCTGGGTCAGCCACCTACTACGATGGGACTCGGGACAGGCAGCCACAGTGAAGAGAGAAGTGGCGTCACTCCGCCACAGGGACGCCCGGTGAGGACTCAATGCCTGGGATTCTATGGCAGCGCCGCCCAAAGACCCAAAGCAAAACCATCCAGTGATGACTGGTAGTTCATGAGGCCTTACATTCTTCATCCCGCTTTGTCTCACATTATCTGATCTGCTCTTCGTAACCCGTCACCGAAGCAGGACAAACAGTAAGTTCTCCTGAAAACTGACTGGGAACAGAACGGCCCCCTGGTTAAGAACACGGGCCTTGTGGTGTGAATCCGAGCTCCACCATGTCCTAGCTGTGTGGCCTGAGCAAGTCACTGAACTGCTCTGTGCCTGCTTCCTCACCAGGAAAGAGGGGACAGCCATTGTGACCAACTCACAGAGTGAATTTATTATTCATGCTTAATACCTACTCCCGGCCAAATCCTAAACTTGGCACAGTATGAAAAAGCCAAAAGACAAAAGTCGCTGCCTTTACAAAGCAAAACAAACAAGGAACACAGAAATGTCTCAGGTAATAACTGCAATGAAGGACACACCCAGGGGACAGAGTGACGGACAGTGGCAAGGCTGGTTTACACAGGACGGTCAAGCAGGGCCTCTCTGAAGACATGACATTTGGTGTTTTTTTTTGTTTTTTTTTTTTGTTTTTTTAAGATTTACTTATTTATTTGAGAGGGGCGGGTAGGAGGAGAGAGCACGAACAGGGCAGGAGGAGGAGATAGAGAATCCTTGAGCAGACTCCCAGCTGAATGTAGAGCCTGCCTAGGGGTTCAGTCCTAGGATCCGGAGATCATGACCCGAGCGGAAATCAGAAGTTGGATGCTCAACCAACTGAGCCACCTAGGCGCCCCTGAAGACATGGTATTTGAACTCAGATCTGAAGGGTAAGAAACGAGTGAAATGAAATGAAAAGAAGGGAAAGGGACAGTGTTTCCAGCTAGAATGGAGAGACTACAGTGAGGGGTAACTGAACGAACGCCCAGGCTCAGCGCCGGACACAGCGCACAGCACGCATCTCACTCCCAGCAGCTGGGAGGAGGACGGTTACCGCCGCTGCAGTGCTGCACGGGGCTGGCCAGCAGCTGTACGTCTCCGGAGAAAAGCATCCACTGGAAGGAGGGCTGGGTCAGGGTTCCCGGGCCTTACACAGATGCCCCAAACCCACTGGTGATTAACCAGCACCAGCACAATCTCCCAGCCTGGAGGAGGATAAGGAGGGAGAAGGGACATGAGGAGCCCAAGTGGGCTCAGCAAGGGAGGGAAAGAAAGTCCACTGGCCCAGCACTGCTGTGACTCCTGCCACCTTGCTCCTGCTAGTCCATAGTCTGGGCTTTTCTGTTTACTAAAGGAGTCCAACCAACATACCTTCACTGACAACTGAGCTCACAGGCTTAGGCAGTTAAGAGAGTGAGTCAGTGTCACAGGGCCTCAGCACTACTGCTGAAATTAGAACCCAAGTCTCCTGATTTACATACATCTCTCTGCTTCTCCAATGGGCCACTATCCTCTTCCAAGCTAGAACTTGGGTCATCTCAGGTCAACTGAGCTCCAAGCTCTTACTCTGAAGCAAACGTAGAGCAGCCCCCATCCGGCACGTAACGGAAATCGTGTACTAAATGATAATCTACTGTATTAACTTGACCCCAAACTAACTCAAGTATTAGTTTTACACTTAACCGTGTCCTGCAGCAGCCAGTGACCCTGTTTTAAATTAGAATCTGACTTACATCTTCTGGAATTCGAAAATGCAGTGAAGCAAAACATGCCAATATTCAAGCCTGAACTGATACTTGGTTATTAGTTCTGCTAAATCCTCACCTCCTGGTCTGGTAACTACCCCGAGACAGCACTCTCTGATAGAGTCTGGCATCTCGTAGGGAGATACCAGGGGAAGACAAGAGCAAGGTCACGTGCTTATCTCTTCCTTACTCCCCACTCGGTGCAAATGAAAACTCTGGTGTCAGAAGGTTTCTGAAAATGTCGTCAAAATACTGTGAGAGACAAAATGACTTTTCATATCAGGAAGATGGGTGTTTTAAAATCGCTGGCAGTGAAGTCAATCATGTTTGTGAGTTCTTTGCGCATTTCTAAATTTTAACAGAATAAGACTACAAATGATTATATGAAAAGGACCAAAGGGGTTCAGCAAATGGTAAAAATTTCTAAGGTTTAAGCTTTCTACAGACTTAAAGTCATCATGATTCTCTTCCAGAGAGTGCAGTTTTATTAGAATTGTCACAATGATCATTCTAACTTGAACCTGAACTATTCACTTCAAAAACAGATCAAATTATATACTGTACCAAGATTTTGATGTGGTTCACTTTCTTCAAACTTTCTTGTAACCGCTGACTCTGCAAAAGACAAAAAACAGCTAATAATCACTATAATTTCATTACATTATATGTATTTAATAATTACTTATAATTTCAGTAGATAAACATAACTTTTTTCTTTTTTTTTTTAAAGATTTTACTTATTTACTCGACACAGAAAGATCACAAGCAGGCAGAGAGGCACCCAGAGAGAGAAGAGGAAGCAGGCTCCCCGCTGAGCAGAGAGCCCGATCCAGGGCTCGATCCCAGGACCCTGAGATCACGACCTAAGCCGAAGGCAGAGGCTTAACCCACTGAGCCACCCAGGCGCCCCAAGCATAACATATTAAGAACTGGTTTTCAGGAGGGTCTTTGAAGGCCGGCAAATCTGTCAGTTAATGGCTCCTGAGTTAGGCTGCCGATTCTTGCTTTTCAACAACTGCAAACGTTCCCCCATGTTTCAGTTGAAAGTTACATGTAGTGCTTCTAGAAAAGCTTTTTCTATAAGACACAAGTGAATTTGTCATATTAGCAACATAAGTTATTCATTCTTTCAAAACCTACTCAGTACATGGCAACAAGTTCAAAAATGAACAACTGTATCGAACTGAAAAGCTTCTGTGCAGCAAAGGAAACCAACACCAAAATGAAAAGTCAGCCTACTGAATGGGAGAAGACACTTGCAAATAAATTATTTAATAAGGAGTTAATGTCCAAAATAATGTCCTACAACTCAAGGGGAAAAAACCAAAATCTGATTAAACAATGGGAAGATCTGAATAGAGATTTTTCCGAAGAAGACATCCAGATGGCCAACAGGCACACGAACAGATGCTCAGTATCACCCCTCATCAGGGAAATGCAAGTCAAAACCACAATGAGATGTCACCCTGCGTCTGTCAGAATGGCCAGTATCAAAGAGAAAAGATACAACAAAGGTGGGCAAGAATGTGGAGAAAATGGCAAATCCTGGAGCACTACTGGTGGAACGCAAACTGGCACAGCCCCTATGGAAAACCGTACGGGGGTTCCTCAAAGATTTAAAAACAGAACCACCGTATGATTCAGCAATTCCACTTCTGGATATTTATCCAGACAAAGCAAAAACCTCCAATTTGAAAAGAAAACTGCACCCCCACGTTCACTGCAGCATTGTTTCCAACAGCCAAGATAAAGAAACAACCTGAGTGTCCATCCATGCATGCGTGAATAAAGAAGAGGTAGTGCAGAACATACACACACAACGAAGTTTTATTCACCATAAAAAAGAATGAAATCTTGCCATTTGTGACAACCTGAAGGGACCTTCAGGACAATATGTTAAGTGAAATAAGTGAGACAAGAAAGACAAATACTGTATGATATCACGTATGCGGGCATCTAAAAGAAAACAAAAAACCCACAAGCTCATAAATTCAGAGAACAGGCTGGTGGCCGCCAGAGGCAGGGGATGGGAGCTGGGAAAGATGGGTAAAGGTGGTTCAAAGATACAAATTTCCAGTTGTAAAATAAGTCAGTCACAGGGATGTCATGTTCAGCATGGTAACGATGGTTCTGAACTATACTGCTTATCTGCAAATCGCTGAGAGTAAATTTTGAAAGTCCTCATCACAACCGAAGATAATTCTGTAACAATGAATAGTGACACGTGTTAACTGGACTTGCAACTGTGGCGATTACTTCCCAGTATACACAAACACCGGTTTGTTATGCTGTTCATTAGGCTGTCCTCCGGAGACTGATAAAACGTTACATCGCAGTTAGAGCTCAAAACCCCCCCACAAAGCTACTGAGTGCAAAGGCACACAAGACACAGAACAGGACACTGGGGAAGAAGAGCCAAGGTAAGCGAGGAAATGCTGTTCAGAGAATGGGTCTATAATACGCACACCTGAGTTCAAAATCTCACCTACAGGACAAGGCCCAAGTCCATCTGCCACTTATTAGCTATGACCTTGGACACCTTGTTCAGCCTCTCTGTGCTTTGGGTCCGTCGATGAGAAAACCAGGAGGGTAGCTATCTGACAGGGTTGTTCAGCAGGAGCCTGGAAACAGCCTCTAGAACACCATGTGCATTGCCTGTGCGATGACCCCCTCCTCATTGCACTGCTAGCTCCGTCCCAGGTCTCGTTATTGATGTGGGATCAACAAGCAGCTACTTCACGGCGTTGGGTTCATTCATTCCGCAGTTATTTACTGAGCATCAGACACTGGAAAACCCCTCATGAAAACTACCCAGTACGCCGTTACCCGTGGCCTTCACGTCTAGGAACGTTCGAATGAGACCGTGCACGCGCACTGCTGTGTGCAGAGTAAACGCTCTGTAGCTGCTTTCCAGGAGGTGGATGAGGACGATGATGACGGGAGGAAGCGGAGGAGGAGGATACCCGGAGAGGCATGACCGTACAGATAACACATGTGCTACGAGTCCCCGCAGTCTCATGCGCACTCGGAGCAGCGGGGAGTCACCGACAGGCCATCAGAGGCGCTCGACGGTCCTGGGACCAGCTACGGCGCTTGCTTGCAGGAAGACAGAGCCGCAGTGACCTCAAGGGCTTGGGAGCGGACGTCTCATTATTTTCCTGTGCTCTGCAAGCCTGAGGGAGTTGAGGAGCCCTCCCCTGACGCCCAGACCTTCCCTGCAGTGCCCGAGTTACCACGGCAATAAAGGCCTCTCCCTTCTGAACAACCAAACCTCAAGACATGAGCCGACGGTCCAGTGACCACATTTTTTCCAAAATGTGCTCCTGTAAACCTAATGAACAGAAACCTCAAAATCATCTCATGTAAAAATCAAACTACTTCATTTACAGTGTTTCTGCTGCATTAGAAATGAGTGTTAGAATGAACGATCCTGACATGACAAACCCAAAGACAGCTGCTATAGGGACGCGAAGACACTAGCTTCCCCTAAACATAAAAATGACACATGAAGAAGTATCGATTCCACAGAACACATTTAAAACAAAGATTTTTAAATCCGTCTGCACAGGATCAAGCACTACTCTAAGAGCCTCACAGTCTGAGCTCATTCAGTCCTACAATCTCTTACTACATCACCCGTCTACCAGGTAAGCAAACAGGCGACGTCAAGCTTCCAGACTCAGCTCTCAAACGGCACAAACATGACTTTCTTTGCTATCTAAACTAGAGCGTAATTACATCTTCACAATGAGAACACCTCATATGGAAGGAAGGAAAATTACAGAACTGTCCCTAGAGCCTTGCCATTTGGGAGCCCAAACCAGCTGGTATTAAAAATATGCAGCCCAGGGGCGCCTGGGTGGCTCAGTGGGTTAAAGCCTCTGCCTTTGGCTCGGCTCATGATCCCAGGGTCCTGGGATCGAGCCCCGCATCGGGCTCTCTGCTCAGCAGGGAGCCTGCTTCCCCCTCTCTCTGCCTACTTGTGATCTCTGTCTGTCAAATAAATAAATAAAATCTTAAAAAAAAAAAGTACGCAGCCCATCTATCATCAACCCCTAGCAGCCATATTTCCTCCCCCCTCAAGAGACAGCCAGTCAGGGGCCTCATTTACCACCCTCCCCCATCACCCCCTTTTGCTTCCTTCTCCAATCCTTGGCTCTCATCTTGTGACTCCTTCTCTCATCCTGTGTTCACATGAGCATTCCTCTGAACTCATGTCTGTGGACGCAACTGCTGGGACACCCCTGCAGTCCCTCCCAGAACTTTGCACAGGAAATGTACGCATGCTCTCTGGTCACTTAGGAGAAGCCAAATCCAGGCAACAAGGTCATGGACAGCGGGTGAGGCAATGGGGCAGTTTTCTGTCACTGCTTTTGCCACAGTATTGGTGGCTCATTCAAACCTGAGGTTTCTACTCACCAGCTGGCAGGCGTGCTTAATCCTCTCCACAATCCCATCAAGCCCCAAGTACTGTAAAGACAACCACAGCGGCAGGGCACGGAGTTTGTCTGCTGGCTTGTTTGATGTAAGACCGGCAACTAAAGTCTAAAGAAGCCAATATGGTTTTAGTGGTCAAAGCCAATGAAGACACAGATTAGACACCATTTTCCTCTGCACTTAGTGTGTGTCAGATGCTACAGCAGGCACTTGACTGGCCTTATTTGTCTGATCACCTAAAGGCCCCAGGAGGGGAGTATTCTAGACAACCCAAGTCAGAGAACTTGCTTTCAAGGGTTCACAGCTCAGATGTAGCAAAGCCAGGATGAGAATCCAGATGGGTCCCGTCCCAGAGCCAAAGCTGTTCTGAGTGTCCTCAAACAGGGGACCATTATCAACTGAGCAAGACATTAACTGCTTTAGTAAGAATCACTCAAAGCTTATTTTGCATAGGCCTGTCACTGAGGGATCGACTATTAAGAAACACTTCTTAGGAAAAATACGCTACAATCTTCTAGATAATGGAGATCGAGAGCTTTAATGACTTTTAATAGTTAGGTCACTTCTGGGAACCCTTTCTAAGGAAATAATTTGAAGTACAGAAACATGCTCATTATTTTAGTAACAAAAATTTGAAAACATCCTCAAAGTTGACAAATGGAGAATGATTAAATCGAGGTAAGTAAGAGAATATTACACAGTCATAAACTGTCATAAAACGTTCTTCATACACATGGGTGCCTATGAGAATAAATTAAAAAAACATACACAGTACTGTTTCATTTATGTTAGAAATATTTTTTTGATTAAAAAAAAAAAGTCACAGAACTGGCATTAAGGAAATTTTTCACTTTTTCCATGTTTTGCTCCCAGACTCCAGAGTGATTATTAGCCACTCCCCAGTCCCTCCCAGTGAGAGCGAGCTTACCAAGGCTGGATCGTCGTGTTTATAAAGGGTGACTGCAGGGACAGCTGGCAAACCCAGCCATGGACCTGGAGTCAATGTCATGCTGTCACATTTGGTTGCAGCCTACCAAAGAGAAAACAACTTTTTGCTACAGACTATCAGAATCCATTAAACCCAACACCCTCCTCCAATCATTAAAAAACATGAAAAGCCATCAGGGATTGTTGCTGTTGTCTTTAAGTAGGCTCCATGCCCAGCACAGAGCCCAACACAAGGCTTGAACCCATGACCTTGAGATCAAGACGGGAGCCGAAATCAAGAGTTGGATGCTTAACCAACTGAGCCACCCAGGCGCCTTGGGGATTAAGTGATTTTAAATCCTTCTTAAAAACACAATATTTATTAAATCAGTCACATACCAGCACTGATGAGGAGACATAACCTAGAGCCAAGGTTGCCAGATTCACACTGGGAAAAAAAAAAAACAACAAATTATTTATTGCTGCTTATTCACTCAGTTTATACTTAAAAAAAAAAAAAAAAGGCTGTGCTGTTTCAAACTGACATTAAAATGTCTTTCAGCGGGGTTATAAGTGTATCACCAGAAAATGCATATATACAAATTTCAGCAAAACCTTGAAAATGCACTTAAATCAAATGTGTTTCAGGGGATGTCACCTGCTGATGCAACGTAATGGCTGTCTTATTTTTTATCTTTCAAAACCTATTATTTTCCAGTCATCAGTGCTTTCCCAGAGTGACAAAATAACCCAGCCCATATGGTGTGCCGGGGATGGTTTCCTGTAGCTGCCCATTATCCTCCCCTAAGCCATTCTGGGAAACCACCCCCACCTCCTCCATCAGACCACAGCTCTGGGTGGAGACACCACCACCTGCTCCACGGGCAAGCATATCACCTACATGATGGAAGTGGTACCTTTCCTTGGCCACGGTGAGGGACTCAGTAGGAGACTTTTGCTGGGACTTCTGACCCTCAGGACAAAAACCTGGAGAGCAAGCTGTGGCCACTGCAACTACTTTGCACCAACATCGCAAAGTCTCTATAGGAAGCACCACAGAGGAAATGAGGCCCAGTGACTGGGGCAGAGGGTGGGGGCAGGAAGATGCCGAGCCCTGGCTGATGCTGTGCCTAAAATAATCCTAACACCATCTTTCTAGTTATGTAAGCCAATAAAATCTCTTCTCGCTCACGCCACTCTGGGTTATTTTATTACCTTTACTACCAATCCCAAAGAGTCCTTAGAGATAAACGTTAACAACAAAGTTAAGAGCCTGGACGCCCGCCCCTGATGAGCACTGCGCACAGGCCCACCAGAGAGCCAACCTCGCCCTCCACTCACCCCTCCACGTGAAGCCATATGCCATACTGCTCACAGAGTTCTTTCAAACGTCCAATCTTGTCTGTGTGTCCTACTGCCGCAGTTCCTAGGACGAAATACACAAAAAAGGATACTAAAAGGAACAAGTACTTTCTGAGTCTTTACAGCATGATAGAAGCTTTGAAATACATTATCTCTCAGAAGGAAGTAACATTATATCCGTTTTACTGAGATTAGCTATGTGAACTGGCTTAAAATCAACTTTTACAAATTGGTTATTCAAATTCCGACGTGTGCGTAGTCTCTGTTTTATGTATCTATAGAAGCAAGCTTGTTAATGCTGTTACTTAAAACCTCTTTATTAAAGCTTTTTTTTTTTTCCTATCTACTTGATGTTCTTTCAGGAGAAAGGTATTCAAATCTCTCACTAAGATAGTGGGTTTGTCCATTTATGCTTGTATTTTATCAATTTTTCCCAAGGTTTTCCTTTATCTATTTCAGTTATGCTCATCAGCATTCGTAACTGCTGTGTCTTAGTGGATTACATGCATTGTAATTAGTGTGGAGTCTACCTTATCTCACACTAACACGCCTACAGTACTTTCGTTCTGTCACTATGTGCCCAAGATACCCGTTTTCACGCTTGCTTTTTGTCACTTTCTGGGTTATTTTTATGTAGGTGTGTCTATTATAAATGTAAATAAATTTGCGGGTTTTTTTTTTTTTTAACTCAATACGAGAGGTTCTTTGTTTTAATATAGAACATGCACTCTAAAGTCAGCTGAAACACACATGAGTGCTTTACCCTGTCCCCTTGTTAAGTCCATTTATACTACAGGCTGGATAGGCGGGTCCCTCTTCCCAGAGCGTGAGTAAAACAGGACTCAGTGCTTTCTCCTGACTGTCCCAAACTTCCAGTTACCAGAATCCCACCTTATTAGGTTGCAAATCCTCACCAACTGCCTCAACAAACACAACCACTGCAAGTGGTTCTTTTGCAGAATTTAGGTCTATAAACCAATTCTAACTGATTTTTGTATACAGAGTGAGGTAAGCAAAAGGTTCAGTTTTTTTTTTTTTTCCCATGTGCCTATCTCCTTGTCCCAAGATCATTGGTGGAAAAGACCTACCTTTCTTCCTTTGAAATACCTTGGCATCTTTGTAACACGTCAAGTGACCCTGTACATGTAAGTCTATTTCTAAACTCTATTGTCTTCAATTAATCCCACACTGTCCTGATTATCTGTGGCTTTATACTAAGTCTAAAAGCCAGATATAGCCCGAGTCTTTGAATTTTGTTCTTTTTCAAAATTATTTTGGCTATCCTCAAATCCTCTGTATTTCCACATAAATTTTAGAATTGGCTTATCAACTTCTGGAAGAAATTGAAGCCTGCTGAAATTTTGATAGAGACTGATCTGTAGAATCTACAGATTAATTTGGGCAGATTAAGACTTCATAATATTGAGTCTTTCCACAGATGCGTATGCTGTATCATTCTTGAATTTCTCTCAGCAACATTTATAGTTTTCAGTGTACAAATCTTGCATATATTTTATTACATTTATCCATAAAGTTTTCATTTTTTTGATGCTATTATGAATGGCATTTTTAATTGAATTTCAATGGTTTGTTGCTGGTATACAGAAATCCTGCAACCCTGATCAATTTGCTTATTTTCAGAAATTTGCAGAAAATTTGCAGAAAAGCCAATGGCTTTTCTGTAGTTTCCTTATGACTTTCTGTCTATATAATCATGCCATCTGCAAGTAAAGACAGCTGGTTCTTTCTAGTACGTGCGTCACATCATTATTTTTCTTGCCTTACGCACTGTCTAGAGCTTCAAGTACAATGCTAAATACGATGAGGGAAGCAGAGCAGAAAGGGGTGGTTGAACTGCCATGTTCAAGGTGGACATTTAAGGATGACATTTAAAAATTCAATTTAGAGGGGCGCCTGGGTGGCTCAGAGGGTTAAGCCTCTGCCTTCGGCTTGGGTCCCTGTCTCAGGGTCTTGCCCCACTTCGGGCTCTCTGCTCAGCGGGGAGCCTGCTTCCCCCTCTCTCTCTCTGCCTGCCTCTCTGCCTGCTTGTGATCTCCCTCTCTCTGTGTCAGATAAATAAATAAATAAAATAATAAAATTCAATTTAGAAAGGAAGCACATGAAAGAGAGAAGTACTTACAACCTAAATGAGAACAGACACACACCCAATAAACTGACTCCCCAAACAAACCCACAGTTAAAGGGAATCAAAGGAGCCCAGTGTAGTACTGTAATTCTCACCACGGTGCTGATACAAACTACCCTAACCATGTGGCGCACAAACATTACTTTAGACTTTTTGTTTTTAAGGCTAAGTACCTAGTCTTCCTCTCATATCTGAAACGGTAGAATCAGTTCATAATACCCACCAGCATTTGCTACAAGCAACAGGGGCAGTTTTCCTCGTTCTATATCATCTTTAATCAGTTTCTCCAGGAAGGCAACATCCTAGATAAAAAGGCAAACCATAAAAACATGAAGCAACTTGCATAAAAAGCTATACAATAAAAAATTCTAACTTTCAAAAGAAGCAGATGACTCTCAAAATAAATCATGCAAATCAGTTATCCTTTTTTCTTTTTTTTTTAAAGTAGGCTCCACACTATGACCCTGAGATCAAGACCTAAGCTGAGATCAAAAGTCAGATGCTTAACCAACTGAACCACTCAGGCTCAACTCTTATTCTTGACCATTTTTCTATTTTCCCTGATCACAGAGACAAAAATCAAATAGTTTACCTTGAAGACTAAGTACAAAAATCACTTAAATGAGATCAAAGTTAAAAACTGCTTATATGGGGCGCCTGGGTGGCTCAGTGGGTTAAAGCCTCTGCCTTCGGCTCAGGTCATGATCCCAGGGTCCTGGGATCGAGCCCCACATCGGGCTCTCTGCTCAGCGGGGAGCCTGCTTCCTCCTCTCTCTCTCTGCCTGCCTCTCTGCCTACTTGTGATCTCTGTCTGTCAAATAAATAACTAAATAAAATCTTTAAA